TGGCCGTCTCCCATAGAACCTAGCACATATCCCTGAAAGAACAAATCTGGGACCACGGCTTGTGATAGCCAGGAAATGTCAAATAACAGATCACTTTCTGTACCTAAATATTTGTGACAAGAGTGAATTCTGCTCCACCCCAGGTGTAAGAGTCACATTTCCTTTCTTTCTCCAAATCAAATGTTGTACGTTCCAAACTCCCACAATTCTAGCAGAATATTCAATCCTGATAATTATGGTGACCGCTGCCTCACCCCACGGTCATGTGAAGGGCTGTTGGTCTAACTCAGTGCAACCAGGAAAAAGCCCTCTGGCCTTCAGTCCACCCTGCTACCATGAATGTGCCCTTGTTCAAGCTGGTATGGACCCTGGCAGGCCAACAGTTCTGCTCTTCACTGGGCTCAGGGGTCGATTGTTATGGCTCTAGCTTCCCATGTCAGGGAGAGGCCCAGATCCTTGCCACTCAAAGACCCTGAAAAACCTAGGCCCCGTCTCGATCTTGGGGAGGCTTTCAAAAATCTCCTTTCCCCTGACTACATGGCTCTCCTGCCTTTCCCCCTCCAGGACAATCAGCCTAACTTCCCTCAAAGGTCCGAAGCAGGAGGGGATCTCTTTTTGAGCCTGAGAGTGGTTGCTTCCTGCCCTGCCTTGCAGTGGCCCTGAGAAGCAAGCGATCTAGAAGGGCCAAGCCCCCTCTGGGGATTGGGACCGAGGTGGCAGAGGAAAAATACCCATAATCGTTCAAAGTCCTATCTGTAATATTTTTTTTAGAAAAGAAAACAACATGAATGTCCCAAATCAATGTTAGTACACCCAAACAATGGAATACCATGCAGCTACTGTGGCCAAAGATGACTACAGCAATATTTCCCATACCACATGTTTTTCTTACAATGTGGCTTTGACACTTCTCCCATTGAGACTTGGGGTCTATTGCCCTCCCCTGAAATCAGGTGGGCTTTTATAACTTTCAGCCAACAATGTGCAATAGAAGTGAGGCTATGTGATGTCTGAGACTAGATCGCAAGAGGCTATGCAGCATCCTCTTTGCTTGCTGGAATGCTGGCTCTTGAGGCATTTAGCTGTCATTTAAGCACAGACTGCCCTGAAATTTCCATGCTGTGAAGAAGCTCAAACTAGCCCACACAGGAGAGACACAAAGAGAAGCCCTAAGACTACCTGCAGAGAGATGTCCAGACAGCCTTCAGCTGCTTCATCCCCCATTCTCTGTCCCAACTCTAGCCACTCTTTCACTATAGCTCTATGCGACAGCACCAGTCAAGCTTTTACCAAATTCCTGACCCACAGAAACCACGATAAATAACAGAATGCTTATTGTTGTTAAACGCCACTAAGTGTTGGAGTGATTTGTTACTGAGCAATAGATAGCCAGAAAGCAACTCTGTATGCTCTGACATGGAACATCATCAAGGTATAATATTAAATTTTTAAAACTGTAGAATACTGTATATTGTATGTCCCCTTTATTATAGATATAGATAAATAGATATAGATATATAGATAATGTATAGTCTTGTATATGCATAGATCACTGGCTTGCCAACTGTGGATATTCATTAAAATCTCCTGGGAAGAGGGAAGGACTTAAAAAAATCACCAATGCTTGATCCCACTCTACACCAATTCAATCATAATATCTGGGGATGGGACCCAAACATTGTTATCTTTTAAAAGTTCTCCAAGAGCCCTGGCCCGTATTGCTCAGTTGGTTGAGTGTCATCCCATGCCCCGGAAGGTTGCCAGGTTAGATTATTTGGCAGGGCGTATGCCGGGTCTCACACTTGATCCCCAGTAGGGAGAAATGCAGGAGACAGCCAATGGATGTTTCTCTCTCCCTCTCCCTTCCCCTCTCTCTAAAAATCAATGAAAAATTTAAAAAAAACTTCTCCAAGAGATTCTGATGTGCAGCCAGAATTGAGAATTCTGATATAGAATAACCTGGAAGGCACCATAGGAAACTGATGCTGTGTTTGCCTCTGGAAAGGGACACTGGGCAGAAAGGTACACTGGGGTAAGAATGGGAAGTGTTGGAGGGAGATTTACTTTTCACTGTAAACACTGATTTTTTAAATTTGTTTAATCTGCTTGCACACGTTACCTGTTTCCAAGAACAATAAGTGTGTGTGTTTGTGTGTGTGTGTGTGTGTGTGTGTGTGTGTGTGTTTTAAGGAAAGCATGTACAGCAGTGAGAATGAATCAGAATAGCAAATTAGGAATAACCCATTCAATCATGGGAGTCAGTTTAGGGCCCACTATTTTGGGGCCTCAGAGGAAGTGACTGTCCTTGGGAATAGTGCTGAGGTGAATCCTGAAGTGGCCTCTGTCCTGAAATGACTTATTTGCTGGCCCAAACACCCCCCACTTACTACACCATTAGTTTCTCATTAGAAAGCAGTTTGGGGACAGAGTAATGGCTATAAAATGTGAGCCTCTGGCTGCCAGTCACCCCTGTGGACAGGAGGAAAAATACTCAGGCTTAGATGGAGGGTAAAGAGATCTGGGTCTGGTTGGCTGGGGTGCTGACCTGCTGTATCAAGGAAAAGCAGATTATTAGCCAGCTCTCCATTAGCAGGAATTTGGTTTTCTGTTTCACCTTAAGATTCCCATTGCAAGGAGCCGGGGCTTTGATCAAGGTAAGGTGGAAGTGGCAGCCCCCAGTTCATTTCCATGGAGTCCCAGGGATGTGTACATGGGGAGATGGCCGGGGGGGGGGGGGGGGGGGACAATGGCACTAAATAGCAGCCTGGGTGGCTGACTGGAAGGGAGATAGGCTGACCCAAAGCTTCCTCTCTGGAACCATCCTTGCATTGGGTCATTGACACATGCATCTGACAGCTTCCCAGTTCTAAAGGCCACCTCAAAATTCACTACTTGTCAATTGCATGACCTTATTAAGTAATTTAATATTCAGAGCCTCAGTTTCCTCATCTGTAATATAGATTAAATCATCTGAAATAAGAGAAAGAACATGATAACCATTATTAAATTGAGCCAGTCTTTATCGGTGTCTATTCCAGGCAAACATGGGGGTGGATTCTTCCATTTGACTAACACAGTGAGTGTGGTGGGTAAGAGTGGGCTTTGCAGTCAGATGTAACTGGGTTAAATCACGCTATTGTCACTTATTAACTGTGGGACCTAGGGCAAGTCACCACGTCTCTGAGTCTCATTTCCTCACTTATAAGGAAGATCATAATATAACACCTCCTTTTGTCAAAAGCTGCTGTGAGGATTAAATAAGATAGTGAATGTGAAGAGTTTGTGCATCCATAAGTAAATATCCAGAAACTGGCAGCTGTTGCCATTCTGCTTATCTTGCAGCTTATAGGTGTGGACACAGTACTTTCCATCTTGTCTTACTTGACCCTCAAGACTCTGGAGGCAGGCTCTATAAAAGGTGAGAACATTGATGTCCATTGAAACGAAGTGATTTGTCTCCAGTCATAAGTGGTAGAGTCAGGAGTGAACCCGGGTGTTCGGTTTCCTGATATGGCTTCTGGCTCTGGAAGCTCTGTATCTGGTGGGTGACAGAAACTTGAGGATCATCTCTAGATAAGAAAGGGAGTTCCTTAAATGACTGTGACGAGGTTCACTGGAAAGGGAAGGAAAGGAAGTTATCCATTTTGCTTCCTTCACAAGTCTTCGTCCTTTACCACCCAGTGGGCTTCCATAGGCTATAAACAAGGAGAAGAATGAACAACTTAATATATACTCAACATCAAAATCAAGTCAAAGTCATGTTTTGGGCCCTAAATTTAGAATGCCATATCTATGTTTAAATTAAAAGCAGGTACACTGGGGAAAATATAAAGATTCTTCAAAGAAAACTTGAAAACACACTCCAGTGCACTCTTGGGTCAACAGTGAAGAAGACTGTCAGGCTGAACAGTTGACTAATGACGACGCTCGTTGAGATGTCTGCTCTTAGCTATGTTTTCAAAAGCATCCAAGTCATTCTGCTGGTAAATTGTCAAATCTGCCTGGAATTACTGTTAGGTTCCAGTCATAGCTGTCTATTCATGAAAAGCTAAAAACAAACAAACAACCCCCCCCCCCCCCATAAAACTA